TTTTTCCATTGGACATGTGGGAGAGACAGTAAGGGGGAAAGTGAGAAATCTCCCCACCCCAGGAGAAATGGCCATGCTACAATCCCTTCTCTACCATTCTCCTTCTGGGATCTGGGGCATGCATGCACCAGGTTTGAAACTCAAACTGCAGTCAGTCAAGTAGAAGTCCAACACCTTACCCTCACACACCTGTTGTCCCCAGTCTGTGGTATTTTGTTATGGCAACTGTAGCAAACTGATACAGTGACTTCACACAGCAAAAGTTTATTTTTTATTCAGAGTCCACAAAAGATTGGTGGTCTCTCCTCCACTTAGTGATTCAGGGATCTAGGCTCTATCTACTGTGACACCAACATCTCAGTATGTGGTTCTAGCGCCCACTCTCAGACTAGATGGGGCACATGCATGTCACTTCTGCTTGATTTGCTAAAAAGGACTAGTCACATGGCCCTAGCCTGGCAGTGAAGGAGGCTGAGGACACAGAGAAGTATATAGAATACTAGGTGAACTCTGCTGTCATCAGTATGATGTGATGGCATCATGGGGCCATCAGGGACGAGCTCCTTGACTTGGGTTTCTTATCCGTCCTCAACAAACAGCTTCCACACTGTGGTCCCAAATGATTTCTCTAATTCCAATAATGAATCTCACAGTCTCCTAGCAGAAAGGAGAAAAAGGAAGAAATGCAGCCTCCCTATCTTAAGGATGCTTCCTGAAATTTTCCTCCATTATATTTATAACCTAGTAGCCACAACAAAGGTGTATAGTCACAAGTAAATGTGATGGAATCTGGAAATATAATCCTTATTCCAAGTTGTCATGTACAAGGAGTCTTTTTTAAAAGTTCATGGAAAATGTGTATTATTAAAAAAAAAAAAAAAAAGAACCCTATGTAGGACCAGCAGGTCACATGGTGGTTAAGGTGCTGGATTCCCACACAGCTGACCACAGTTCAAGTCTCAGACCTGGCAGCTTGCTCTCTCACTTTCTCTCTCTTTCTCTCTCTCCTACTGTAGTTAAATAAAAAATAATAATAATAACAACAAATAAAATAAATATTTGTTAAAAAACTATGCATGCATTTTTGCAGTAAACATGTACTTTAATTTCATTTTTCTGTTAACATTTTGAATGCTCTTAAACTTGGTTTAAAGTGAAGAATTCTCTTTTTATTTTTTTTAAGAGGTTTTTTGCTATAGAGTGCGTGAGACAGAAAGCGAGAGACAGAAAGCGAGAAATCACCCCCCCAGGGGGGAATGGCTACTCTGCAATCCCTTCTCCTCCCTTCTCCTCTCGGGATCTTGAGCACACATGCACATGCACCCAGCATGAGTTTTTAAACCACCGGGTCTGGGATGCGAACCGCGGTCGACTACATGGGAGTCCAGCGACATAGCCGTTACACTAACTGCTGGTCCCAAAGTGAAGAATTCTTCAGGGCTGACTGTGTGGTTCGATTCCTGGACCTGAAGGGTTGTGTGTGCATTCCCAAAATATTGAGAGGAGAATGGGGGAGAAGGGATTACAGCTTGGCAATGCTGAAATCATGCTTTGAGTGATAACCTCCTTCTCTTCTCTCTCTCTCTCTTTCTCTCCTCTCTCTCTATCTTTATCTCTGTTGAGTGCATGTGCCCTATAGCAAACATAAATAAATAAATATATAAATAAATAAATAAATAAATAAATAATGATTACAGGTTTTAATACTGTAGAATATGGAGTGTTATGGTTGGGATGTGTGCCCCCAAATTCATGTGTTGAGATTTGGTTTCTATTGTGATGAGCTTAAGAGGGTGAAAACTTCATCTGACTGTGGTACTGAAAGATGGGGTTTTTGGGAGGTGTTCAGGTAATCAGTGTGTGGACCTCTGTGACTAAATCCTGGTATAAGGAGGAAATGGTAAACTCTTGCTCTTTCTTGCCATATGTTGCCCTCTGCCATGTTACTTACCAATAGGAAGACCCTCACCAGATGTGTCCACTTGACCTTAAGCCTCTAAAACCATGAGCTAAATAAACCTCTATTCTTAGAAACCACCCAATTTCAGGTACTCAGGAATTAAGCAGTACAATGGACTAGAACAAGTAGAGGGTGAATCTTGGAGGACTATTAGCAGTCTCCTAGTAGCTGAGTTACTTTTTTTTTAATTAAAATGAATGAAGTTGGGACCGGCAGTTAGCGTAATGGCTATGTCACTGGACTCCCACGTAGTCGACCGCGGTTCGCGTCCCGGACCCGGTGGCTTAAATCTCACGCCGGGCACGTGTGCGTGCATTTCCAAGATACCGAGAGGAGAATGGAGGAGAAGGGATTGCGATGTGGCCATCCCCCCTGGGTGGTGAGTTCTCGCTTTCTGTCTCTCTGTCCGTCTTTCTGTCTGGCGAGCGCACGCGCCCTATAGCGAAAACCTCTCTCAAAAAAAAGTAAGATTAATAAAATTAATTAGTTTTTTTATAATGCTTGATACTGTGTAAGTTTTGAAAAAAATACTGTTTTTTGAATTAGAAAGTATATTCTCCCCCCAAAATTTGTACTATCTAGCAAACTAAAATAAATAAATATAAAGTACTGGACACACAACAGAAACCCAGTAGCAATCTAAATTTTGTATTTATATGTGTGTGTGTACATACATATAAATTACATAAAAATTACATATACATACATAAAATTCATATTTATATATATGTGTGTACATACATATTTTTTTTCATTCCTTTTCTATCCCCAATATCTAGTAAAATATTTGAATTTGGGCCAGTTGGTGGCATAGTGGTTAGAATAGCTGGATTCCACATGGCCAACAATATGCTTCAAGTCCCAGACCTGGCAGCTTGGAAGACACACTAGACACATACATGTGCATTCCCAAAATCCTAAGAAGAAAATGGAAGCAAAAGGATTGTGGCGTGTCCATCTCTCCTGGGGGTGCTTTCTTGCTTTCTCTCTCTGGAGAGCACATGCACCCTCTAGTAAACTAAACTAAATAAATATAAAGTACTGGACATACAACAGAAACCCAGTAGCAATCTAAATTTTTTTCCTTGGGCTGGCTCCATGGCACAGAGGTTAAGGGAAATGGTTTCCACATGGCCAACCATAGTTCAGGTCCCAGCCCTGGCAGCTTGAAAACCAGGCCAGGTGTGTGTGTGTGTGTGTGTGTGTGTGTGTGTAGCAGGAATCCTGAAAAGATGGGAAAATGGAGTAAAGGAATTATGGTATGACTGCACCCCATTAGGGATGATTTATTTTTCTCTCCCTGACAAGGGCATTTGCCCTCTGTTAATAAAAGAAAAAGAATTTAATTTCTTTTGTACTAAAAAGGAGAAATAATGTGTACTTCCCCCCTCCTCCACCTGCTATGTCTTACACACTCTATTATATTCATTTTCTCTCTGACTGCATACTATTATTTCCTCACGCGTACATAGAAAAGCTCTTCTGACACACATGATGAGACTCAGAGAAACTAAAACACTTGCTAAAATCTCACAGCTAGTATGTAGAGGAGCTGAGATTAGAACCCAGAACTGCCCAACTCCCAGATCCATTTGTCTTTCCTATAGCATAGTACTCAGGTCATCAGAAGAAGAGGTTCAGCAAATCAGGTTTTTTAAAAATTACTTGTTTAATTTTATTTATTATTTCTATTTTTTAATTAGAGCAGAGAGAGAAAGCAAGAAAGTAAGCTGCCAGGTCTGGGACTTGAACTGTGGTAGGTCATTTGAGAATCCAATTCCTTAATCACTATGCCACCTACTGGCCCTGAGAAGCAGGTATTTTAGTCTATGAAACTGCAGTCTACCAGTGATAGCTATTGGGATCACTGACACCATGACTATACTCGAGAGAAGCAACCAACGTCTACAACCAATGACTGTCTGCTAGAGAGAAGTAAATTACCTTGAGTTTAAGAATACTTTTCATTTCTGGGACCAGCAGTTGGCATAATGGCTATGTTGCTGGACTCACATGTAGTCGATTGCAGTTTGAGTCCTGGACCTGGCGGCTTAAACTCATGCCGGGTGCATGTGCGTGCGTGCTCAAGATCCCGAGAGGAGAAGAAGGCATTGCAGTGTGGCCATCCCCCCCAGGGGATGATTTCTTGCTTTCTGTCTCTCTGTCTGTCTCTGTCTTTCTGGTGAGCGCACGCGCTCTATAGCAAAAATCTCTCCAAGAAAAAAAAAAAAAAGAATACTTTTCATTTCTTTCTGTTTTACTCAATACTGTTTTCTTACTAAGGTCTGACCACTATGCATGTGTTAACATTTTTACACATTCACAAATACTTACTAGGGACCACTACATTCCCAGCACTCTGCCAAACTCTAGAGACAAAGACGAAAGAAACTGTCCCCACTTACAATCAGCACACCTGGTAGTGAAACTGACAAACAAACAAAAAACACACAGCAACAAGAAGGAATTCTATGCTGTATGGGCAATGCAGAGCCTAGCTCCTCAGCCCCTCTTGCCTTAAGAAGGATTTAGATTATTCTAGAAGCACAGTCCTAACACAGCCAGGCAAAAAACTGTGTGTGTGTGTGTGTATGTGTGTGTGTGTGTGTGTGTGTGTGTGTGTGTAGGATACAACATAAGAAATGTATAGAGAAGAAGTGATATCTTTCACTATCACAAAGTTCATGGCTGAGACCCTACTTTTTTTTAAAGACAGTTTAGCAGGTACCAGCAAATAGCTTTCTGTCTCTATCTCTCCCTGTCTCTCCAGTGAGCACATGCTCCCTATAGCAAAAATCTTGCTAAAAAAAAAAAATGCTAAAAGAACAGATTAACAAGAAAAAAAGCAAACAAATTTGTTTAATATATGTATTATGTGCATGGGAACTTTCAGAAGTGAAAAAGAAACAAGGAAAATGGTGCATTTTTACAGACAGTTGCGTAGAAGTGTGGTTGGAAGACAGGTCTGTGATCAGTGGTGATAAACTGGAGGCACCTTAGCAAGGCCTGTTTGTGCAGATTCTTCTTGGTGTCTCTGTGTCTGCTGTTTCCACAGTTCCAAAGGTACCATATTTGGGGGTAGTGTGTCCTGAACTGTCCTGAACCTTGTCACACAAAGGAAGAAGGAAGGAAACAGGACTTTGAAGTAGTTCAGAAAGGCTACTGACAGTTATCAAACTTTCATGTTGCTCAAGAATCACCACTGACCCTGTCCTGGCTTCCCCCTTGTGATTTCTAATTTTAAGGGGGTGGATTGCGACATCCAGCCCCTGTTCAGGGTACTATCTCTCTGTCTCTATCTTTATATCTTGTGTTCATAGAAGAAATAAGTAAATAAATATAAAAATAAAGAGAGAGTGAGGGAAGGAGAGAAGGGAAAGGCTTTCACACTCTGCCATGGTCACTCATCGGCTAAGGGCAGCGTGAAAGCTGGAGTAATGGAGGAATAACTACACTAAGAGTAAAACAGACTCTACTGGAAGGGTCTCGGTTATACCTTTAGGAGTCACACTAGTCCTTCTGGTTTGTCCATTATGTTGCGATAGCACACTGGCCGGGCTGTCACTCACAGATCTTTAACCTTGATCTTAGCAATAGAAGGTTGTCCTGGGTTCCTGTTTATGAAGAGAAATCGATAGTCATTTGTTAATATTCCAGAACATTTGCATTCATTTATAGGAAAGTTCCTGAAAATCTGGATTGCATACCACCTCCTCCTATACTCTCTTGCACTTAGAAGCAGAAACTCTAAGGGCCTGATTTTTGCCATCAATCTGTAATATTTGACTTTAGAAGAATAGACATTCCTATGGGACTTCCCTAGGAATAGAGAGGAGAAACGAGCCACTCAGTGACTAAGAAAGTGTTCCTGGAGGATTAGAACTGAGCCCTCAGTTGTACAACCTCAGCTTAAGCTGAATTCAGATATCTGTTTACAATACCTTTCTATTGCTATGTAACAAATCACCACAAACTTAGCAGCTCAGCGCATTTATTTGTTAGCATGTAGTTCTGTGGGGTCAAAGTCTAGGCTGGCTCACTGCACTATGTAGAGATCCACAAGGCCAAAATCAGTGTTGGTGAGACTGGGTTTTTATTTGGAAGCTCTCAGAAAGAATCAGCTTCCAACTTTATTCAGCTATTTTTTTTTTAACCAGTTATTTAATTAAGTTTTTGGTAAGACACTTAGAACACCAGGCTAGCAGGTGGTGTGGAGGTTAGAGTGCTGGATCCCACATGGTTGACTCTCTGGTTTAGGTCCCAGATGCCACTGCTTGAAAATTACACTGCGCACGTGTGTGCGTGCGCGCGCGTGTGCCCAAAATCCAGTGAGCAGACTGAGAACGGATTACAGTATGGCCATCCCACCTGGAGGGTGATTTCTCACTCTATCTCTCTGGAAACCTCATGCACCCTATAGAATAACAAAACAAAAACAAAAACAAACAAACAAAAAAACAAGAAAGAAAGAAATTCAGAACACCAATTTGTGAGGATAAACTCCTTTTGTCAGGGCAAATATGGATCACAGGTAGCTTTCTGATCAGCCTTGCACTGATCTATAATCTTGCGATTCTCTTTCTCTGTGGCAAAGATCTCACCTTCCTTGTGTCTGGGCTTCCGTAGCTAATGCTTCTTGAAGTAAGCTCAGTGAGGTGTTTGGGAGTTTTACATCATCAGTATCAATTTTTGTGGAGATGGCAATGACAAATTTCTGGTGCATCCTACTCAGTGAAACTCGATTGAGGAACAGAGGCCTAGTCGCAAGTAGCAAGCCATTCTTCAGCTGCTTCAGGAAACCACCCTCTTGCCTCTGTGGCACCAGTGAGGACAATCAGAGTGGTCCCAGGAGTGATGCTGGCTCACAGCTCTCTCACATGCTGACTGAGAGATCTTTGCCGTGGCTCAGCAGCTTTCCAGGCACCTCCTCAGTAGGATAATACCCAGGCATTTGTGAAGGTGAACCACCCACCTCCCACCATTCTTGTCACCACCAACAGGTTTCATGAGTGGCAAAAACCTTCTTTTTCTTTTCAACCCTGAATTCAGTGGCTGAATATTTCCTTTTGTCCGTGGCCTTTCTGGAATAGATGGTAGATTGGGAGCACCTGCCACTTCCTCAGACTAGGACTGGATTTTAGCTGTAATGGGACTTCCCCTTTTGGGGCCTTTTAGCCTTGGGGATCACCCTTTTTAACCTTGCCACTGGTATCAGCATTTTTGACTTCAGGTTTCTTCTTAGCAACCGACTTCTTAGCTTTTTCATCCTCCATCTAGTAAAATGGGAAATAACTCAGTCAGGTATTTTGTTTATTTGTTCATTTTAAAAATTTTGCTATAGGGCCTGTGCATTCATCAGAGACAGAGAAGAGAGGGAAAGTAAGAAAGTACCCGCCAGGTGGGGATGGCCGCAACACAGTCCCTTCATTCTCTTCTCAGGATTTCGGGCAAGCAACCACACATGTGATGTCTTCTTTCCATCTTCCTTCGTTCCTTCCTTCTTCCCTTCCTTCCTTCCTTTTTCTCTCATTTCTTCTTTCTTTCTCTCTTCTTCTTTCTTTCTCTCTCTTTTTTTCTTTTTTGGAGAATAAGGGAGTTTATTTCTGTAACCAGTTACAGGGAGACAGTCGGCAAACACCATCAAACTACCTCAAAATCTCAACATGTTTTGGGTATTTGTAGGTACAAGATACACGTACAAGCAAATCATTCCTCACTACAATCAATCAGAGTCAATTATCCTGATGCCTTCAAATACCCATTCCTACTTTCTTATCTGACCGGTGGCAAATAGAGCTCCCTATGACTCAGTACGTGTCAGATTGTTCTCATTAGAGGTATTTCTTATTTTCAAAATGGCTGTAGTGCTGCTAACGCTTAAATTGGCCTGCTTCATAAGCACTGGCATTTAGTCCTCGCATCAAACTCTGTTTTTTAGGGAACCTGGGATAAGACCACATAATATCATATTTATTTTTCATAGTAATCCTGTGGAGTAGGAACTATTTTTATTTCCAATTTGCAGAGCAGAATAAAATTTTAGAGATACAGAAGTAATTGGTCAATATCACAAGGCAAATTTGAAAGGAAGAGTTAATATACCAGAAAAGGGTTGTCTTATTTCCAAGCCAATATTCTTAAGCATTAATATTCTTAAGCTTTATCGCACATCTATGGTAAAATAATTTGTAATGAGAACATGGAATCAATCAATATTTATTGAATATCTTCTACAAGTCACTCTCTGGGTGGTACAAATTTGAGGGTGAATAAGACAAATAATAGCTTTATACACAATATGCTTAATATCTTTTTACTAGTGACCTTGTATAATATTTATTTGTCATTCACATCACAGTACAATAAGAGCAGTAATTCATCTTATAAGTATAATAATAGAACCAAAAATGAGTCCAGGGTGATTGAAACAACATAGAAAGAATCCAAGCCAATGGAGGGACATGGAGGTATATACCCTATGTTTAAATTGAGATTATGGGGAATGAGTAAAAATTGGCTTGGTAAGACCAATGTACATGTTAAAGTATTTTGATTTTCAGGGGTCACAGGTGGCATGGTGGTTAAGAGTGCTGTATTCCCACATGGCCGACCACGGGTCAAGTCCCAAACCTGGTGGCTTGCTTTCTTGCTTTCCCTTTCTCTCTCTCTCTGGTCAAATTAAAAAACAATAACAAATGTAAATAGAGAAATAAATCTCTTTTAAAAGCTTTTTGGTTTTTAAATTTTTATTGTAAATTAAACATTATTTATTTACTTATTTTTTTTTTTAATTTGACCAGATAGGGACAGAGTGAGAGAGAGGTGGAAAATGAAAAGGCAAGCCGCCAGGTTCAGGACTTGAACTGTGGTCAGCCATGTGAGAGTCCAGTGCCCTTAACTACCACACCACCTGCTGGTCAATAAATTTTTTTAAATTAATAGATGTTTAAGAGAAGTTTTAGGTTTATAGAAGAATTGAGCAGAAGATACAGAGTTTCCATGTATTCTTTTCCTCCCACTCCCTAGTTTCCCTATTATTAACATCTTGTAATGATGTGATACTTTTAGCTCAATTGATGAACTAGTATTGAAACATTATTATTAAGTCCATAGTTTCCAATGGGATTTACTCTCTGTGTCAATGAGTTTTATTAGCTTCTGTTTCAATTAATGTAGTATGCATTGTCTATTTTCTCTTCCACTAGACAAATTTGATTATTAATTTTTACTCTTCATAATACATTTATGGCTATGTGTTGTGTGTGTGTTTTTTTGTTTTTGTTTTTGTTTTTTTAAGAGTTTTTTTCTATAGGGCGCATGCACTCACCAGAAAGACAGAGAGACAGAAAGCAGGAAATCACGCCCCGGGGGCATGGCCACACCACAATCCCTTCTCCTCCATTCTCCTCTCAGGATCTTGGGCACACACACACATGTGCCCGGGGTGAGTTTAAGGCCCCAGGTCCGGGACTCGAACCACGGTCAACTACATGGGAGTCCAGTGACATAGGCATTACATCAACTGCTGGTCCCATGGCTCTCTATTGTTTTAAGGATTTAATCCAGAAGTCCTGTCTCCTAGTTTTGAAGTTCTACGTGCTGTCTACTTCTCTCGGCTCATCTTATACAGCTTCCCTACTTGAAACAATTTGCTACTTTGGCAAAATTTTAATTTAATTTGGCAATCACAGAGAAAAATATATGTGAAACCATTTTCCACCTTACCTTTCCTTGAACTGTTCTCTCAATTTGAGATACACTTTTACCTACTGATAAATGTTGATATTCTTCCTATCCTTTAAGGGTGAACTCCAATACCAGTTCTCAGATTTCCATCATTTCTCCGGTTGGTGATCTCTTTCTTCTTGGGCTGTCCTAATACTGCTTCTTATGACATGCGATATACAGCATACTTTGTATTCTTGTTTATTTCCCTTCATTTGTTATCTTCTCAAAGGCAGATGACAGACTTACACATCTTTGTTGTTTCCCTAATACTTAGTGTGGGACACTCATTTAGCAGGTACACCATATGCATGTGTAGTCTTGTAATCAGGACTTCCTGTATTTACTCTAGCAAATTCCTTCACTGACAGTATGAGGATACAGAATGACTTCTTCTGGTTTTTGTGTCTTTAGTGCCTAGCAGTATTATTGGCATAGTGGGTGCTCAGTAAATGCAGAATGAAAGAATCAAGTCCTCTGTCTCTGTTTGTATTTGCAGCACTCCATGATTGTTATTCCTCTATAGAGTTCAACTCCGATGTAGTCATCGTTATTGGTACCCACACAGATTCCCTTCCTGCTCGGTGGCTGAGTCTGGGCTGCTAATAGCTTATAGAACACACAGCCAAAGAACTCACAGCCACCTTACTCAAATGGCAGGAGGCAGCCCCTTCCCTCAAGACTCTTGGGAAGTCTGCAGCCAATACTGACTAAAATGGGGACATACTATGGGTCCTCTTGCTTCATGATGGGGCAACCATATGCCATCAGTGGTGCTTCACCTGAATGTTTGGACCAACTTCTTCCTTTTCTCTAGTTGAAGTCTTTATGCCTTTTCCAGAAAGAAGTGCCTCTGTTGAAGGACTTTTAAAAGGAAATTGCCAGGACCAGCAGATGGCATAATGGTTACATTGCTGGACTCCAACCATAGTTGACCACAGTTTGAGTCCCAGACCCAGTGGCTTAAAACATGCCAGGCATGTGTGTGTGCATGCCCAAAATCCTGAAAGGATAATAGAGGATAAGAGATTGCAGTGTGTCCATCCCTCACACTTCCTCTCAGTCTCTCCAGTGAGTGCATGCGCCCTATAGCAAAAATCTCTCTAAAAAATATAAAAATCGGCAGAAGAACACACACACATGCCTGCATACATACATGCATATACATATAAAGACAGCATTTCAATGTACCATAAACACACACAAAAGTGTATAACCCATATTTTGTGTAGTAGAGACTCGTCAATCCAAGCAGTGGTCACTCATGGATGTGACCTTTTGCTCTCCACAT